AACTTGAACACAAACTAATTTCTTCCTTAGATCTCAAACTTATGCAATATTATAGATACATAGACGATATTTTCTTCATCTGGCCTCACGGTTATGACACTAAATTCGTCACTCACTGTAACAACTTTCACCCCACTATCAAATTTACAATGGAACACTCTAACGCTTCTATCCCCTTTCTTCTTGATGTTAATGTTTCCATATCAGGCAACAGTATCTTCACATCTCTCTATTCTGAACCCACCGATAATCGCACATGACCGGGCACATGACGTTCGGATGGCACTCTCAAATGGTAAAAAATGCTTTTTCAAAGCAGTGTTTCTCGACAAAATTATTGACCTCTTCCTGACAGGAGCTATGCTCCCCCTCCCTAGACAGGTGTTCGATAATTTCGACCGCCGGGTTTGTTACGCTAATTTACGCTAAAATTTTAAAATAGAAGGAGAACAGGGAGGGACTTTGGTCCATACCCCTCAGACCCAAATAGTTAGGGCTGGGGTATAGAAATTATGATTGTGGCACCAAGATGTCTGGAAATCGAAATCATTCAGACTTAGTATTTGAATAATTTATTTATTTTTTTTTTTTTTACAAATAAGGGGGTCCTGGCCGGCTGGGCCCCAACCCCACTCGATATCCGTTTAATATGCCCTAGAGTTGATGTCAGAAACACATATGCTGTTATGTAGGCCTATCAAAAAAGACCTTTTGGATCAGGGTGCTATAGATCGAGTACTGTACACTATGGGTAGGGGCACTGAAGGGCGCGCCCCTAAGATCGGTGGCCCTGCGGACCGCCGCACGAGAGCGCATAGGCGTTCAAATACCAATCCAACAAGTAAGTAAAGTCGAATTATGCTCACTAATAATAATAATACTAATATACTGTTCAGTGCACTTTACAAAAGTTAAGAGGGGAAATTAAATCAAAATACATTAAAAATAATATACAAAATTTAAGATTACGAATTACCAAATTTAAATATAAAATGCACAAATTTAGTATTATTAAATAGGATTTAAAAGGAAGCCAATGAACAGAGCCAACATTAACATGCGACTTCTGGATTACAATCACTTTTTTTGCTGTAAGTTGAATAATTCAAAATAACATTTACAGAAAGTAACCCAAGGAGTATGCAAGCAATGTTGGTGGACATAGGCGTAGATCCCAGGGGATGGGGGATATACCCCCCAATATTTGACAGGGGGGGTGGTCCATTGTATCATCCCCCCAATATTTTGACTATGTATGGGATAAAATGGGGCTTTACACACAAAAGACTGTCACAGAAATAATTTGCACTGTCTTATGTGCTTATAAAGATGAAAATTAGCATAATGTATTAATGTTGATAACAAAATTATTTTATCTGGTACCAATTTAAGCTCGTCTTTCCTTAGATGTTAGATGTACTGGCAAAGAGAGCCACATTTCACACTGAAGGGTATGTATGACATCAGTAACATTATGTCAATTCCAAGAATGTTTAAGGTTATATCGGTTGATGAGGAATTTATTGATTAGGCCTGTAATAGCAAATTGCATCAATTTATTTTGAAGTTTCCAGCTTCAGGGGGCACATCCCTGTCCGTACAAGGGCACACATTGGCGCTAACAACAACAACAACAACAACAGCAGCAGCAGCAACAGCAACAACGGGCACACATTGGCGCTAACAACAACAACAGCAGCAGCAGCAGCAACAGCAACAGCAACAACAACAACAACATACAATCCTCATTTCCCGGTTTTTAGTAATTTACCATACCCACCCCACCCCACTCCCCATATAGAAAACAATACGACATAGGGCTTATCTTATTTATAATATAGGCCACACACGTGTGTTTGAAACTAAATATAAGCATTTTCATCATGGTTTTATTTATTACAAACATATACTTTCACCATCTATACACATTGAGGCCCTTCTTTTAGGTTAAAATGATCTATCTTAAATTTGTCTTTCTTGAGTTTGGGACTATTATGTATTTAAATAACGTAAAAGGATAAAACTAAAAAAGCCCTAAAAATGCGCACCAAGGGCGCAAAATATTTTTGTGTTTTTAATTCTAATTTCGTCGGAATTGATGCAATTTATAGAGGAAATTGGCCTACCGTAACAAGAAATGCGCGCAAAGAATTTGAGAATTTTAGGCACTTTCAGAGGATGCATTTGTCAAGGGGTGGGGAAAGATTTTCGAAAGATGGATATTTTCCCCTTGTCCCTCGGTGTTTTTAATTCTAATTTCGTTGGAATTGATCTAAACTCCCTAAAATGTGCAATTTTTAGAGGAAATTGAGCCATGTTAACAAGAAATGCGCGCGAAATTTGAGGTTTTTAAGCACTTTCAGAGGATGAAAGGGCATTTATAAAGGGGTGGGGAAGATTTTTCAAAGATGGATATTTTCTGCTTGTCCCCCAGTGGTTACGCCATCGGGCAGCATAGATCAAAGGAGTTATGACAGTTTTTGAAGTGGAGAAGGGTTTGCAGGGTGTTGTGAGTCTCGTCATCATGATATCTTCCTTTTCATTCTTTTTCTCTTCTCTTTTTCTTTCCTTTTCTTTTCCTCTTCTTTCTCTTTCTCTCCCTCTCCCCTCTTTCTTTTCTCTTATTACCGTACCCAGCCCCGGTACGACAGCTTGGTCAGTCCGGTAAAAACCGTCAGGGGAGGGGCAGTTTCCCCCTGCCCCCCCACCGCGCCTGTTATGACACTGGCTAACACGCCAATCATCCCCCCCAATGAAAAATATTTTTGGTGGAACAACTCCACTGTGACACCGACATTATTTTCCAAAATAAAGATCCCGACCAGAGTTGTATATACTGACATATTTAAATTACTCACCAAGTGAGATCAGAAAAACAGCTGTATGCCAATTTAGCATCGACTAACAAAATATGATATATTTTGTATTGAAACAGGTGAATTTTCTGTCAAAATCGATATTAAACAATAGTTATGTTTACTCTTAAAATACTGATATTGAAGTAGAAATGTTCATATCTAAGCTTATATAACCAACACAATATACAAAATCCAGTTTAGTGTTTTCAAATTACTGTAAAGTTTTTCACTGCTGGAAAGTCATTTGCTTTTTTTTTTGTTAATTTTTTTCCACAATGTTTGAATGAAAATAATCCGTAGATGAAACAAGACAAAAAAATCTTCTTTACTCGATGTATTTTGTTCATAATGGCCGTATTATTTTGATTCAATATTTCGTTCTTCATTAGAATATCATCAGCATTTTCATAAACAATGAAACATTAAATGTTGCTTCTCTCCACGGGCGTTGGTCGGTGGGAGACAGTGGGGACACGTCCCCCTAAGTGGAAGGGACATCATATCAATCCCCCTCCCACTATTCACCATTCTAAAGTTAAAACATTACGTTTCAAAGAGAGTGGAAAAGAATTACAATTATAAATGACTGTCAAATCATCTCATTTAAAAGCACATAACATTAGGTAATTAGATAAATAATAAATAAGATAAATCATTATTTTTATGAATGTTATTGTTCACAAGTTATATAAGTTGCCTTTTGATTTACGATTACGATATTGAGACACCTATTTATGATAAATATTCTGAAAAAAAAAGTAATGTAATGCATTGTAGTGTGGAAATTTATGTTAATTGTATGATGTTCTCCTTAAAGTAAATAGGCCTATAAAAATGCTAGAAAATCATAAATTTTCTTACATCAGCCCCAACCATCATGAGGCTGAGGTGATTGAGGGCTTAGTAATACAGTATAGTATTGTGGCTTAATTACAGAATAAAATTGATCTCTACAACGTGACAATGTATTTATTTGTAAAAAAATACGTCAATGTTTCAAATGTTTGGCTTTTTTATTTCCTTTTCAAGAATAAAAAATGCTTATTTTTATATACAATGTATATTTATAGAATACTTGTTAATTAATACTATTGGCTATGAATCTTGGTTTACATTCAATACAATTAAATAAAATCTGTCATCAATGTCAAAAATATTTAAAAAACATTGCTAAATATGGCTTTTTATATCACCACATTATCCAATGATCTTATCCTCATCTGTAACAAAAATAACAACCCTTGCAATACCTTTCCCGTTGAGTGATTTTTACTTGTACAGGGCATTAGTGGTAATAAGTAGGCCTACAAATGATCCCATATTGAATAGATCTGTGATACAGCAAATGTTCAAAGTTGTTATGAAGTTTTTTTGTTCCATCTAATCATGTGATTCATACTATTTCACATATCCGGCTTCTGAGTATCAACAGTTTGGGCAACTGCCGACACACTCTCCTTCATAAAAAGCTTAATGGATTTTCTTTTCACACAGTGTGACAGCAAATATGAATTTTGAATGTCTTGTTTTTCATTTCACATTCTTTACAATGATTCCTTCACCACAGCTTAAACATCTTATAATATTTTTGCTTCATTCTAATACTTTATCCAGCATAAGATTTGTACATTGTTTTGCTTTTTGATTTTGTAAACACAGATTTTAAAACTATTTTTTGTTGGCATATTGCACCCTGGCCCACAGTTGATTATACTGTATATGCTGTTATGTTCTCAATTTTTAATTTAAATCTGGAAACAAAATACTCTTTTAATTGATTTGCATAGGAGAGAATTATGAAGTTGTCATAAGTTCACTAACTCTTTTATTATACAATACAATTAATTCACATCCACAGTTTCTTTATATAATTTTTGTTGAAGCTCCTGATGGGCAGCACCAGGCAGCTAAAGGGAGTTACCACACCAACAAGGTTTCACAGTCAATGTCATCAAGATAATAAAAAACATTGTCCCTGGTTTTATGCACAACTTTTCACATTGTGGAAATTGGTGGGGGGGGGGGAGAATAGGAAACAAAGGTTTAAAATTGAGTAGGAGTAATTAGAGAATGTGCGCTGGGCCTCTGGGACCTGTGGCATCCACAAGTCATTGGTGATGAGTTTCAATTGAGATTCTGTTAATTTTTAAAATTTATAACGCAGTCTGATTGTATTGTGGTTCTAAAAATAACTGTCACATATAATTGTAATTCTAATCAGCTTAATTCTAAAAAATCAAAGGAAAAATGAGATAATATGAAACAAAGATCAATATAAAATATGAAGGCAATTACAAAAATTACATTATTTATCACATGATAAATTTTAGCATTAATTAATTAATATAAGACAATATTTGGTTTAAAATGACATAACCAAAAGACTTAATTTTAATAAAACCTGTTTTCAAAATTTTCATGTATTGACAGGTGTGGTACAGTACCACAAAAGAACACAAATGTCTTACAAAAATAAGTCTTACAAAAGACAGATTTTATATGTTCATCACAATTACACATATTCATATATTTCTGTAAATTATCGTCATTTAAAATCATCCACTTTGATAACCAATGCAACTTCTTTTCTCTTTTCTTTCTTGCTTTTCTTTTTCTCAAAATGCACATCATCAGTATTATGCTTTTTAGATTCTTGACGCCTGTAAAATATAAAAAATGGTTACTGTAACTACAAACTTGAACTACCTTTACGCTTACCAGTAGTTTAGACTGGCTTCATCAGGTGCAGGTGAAGCCCAAGGAAATCAGTTAGCCAGTAACGTGGTATTAGTGTCTATTTACATAGTTCACCTGACTAAAATACAGCTCCTCCTGTAAGTTGAAAAACCTGTTGCCATATACAGCAAATGGAATCCAAAATAGTGATTATCTTACATTTTTCTTTTTGCTTCAGCAATTTGCCTTAATTTTTCCTTTCCAAGGTCATCATCCTCAGTTGAAAAATCATCTTTTTTCTCTGGATCATCCTGCAAGTCCTGTCAGAAAACAACAATGTAAAATTGTAACAAGAACAGAGACAACAAGGATGTAAATAACACTGAAACAACAAGGATGTAAATAACAACTGAGACAACAAGGATGTAAATAACAACTGAGACAACAAGGATGTAAATAACAACTGAGACAACAAGGATGTAAATAACAACTGAGACAACAAGGATGTAAATAATAACCGAAACAACAAGAATGTAAATAACAACTTAGGCAACAAGGATGTAAATAACAACAGAAGCAACATTTACTAACTATTCATCCTCTAGCATCAGTCTGTCAGATTCTTTTTGTTTTGATACTTGGTGGCCTAAGCTTAAGTGTCTTTGGACCTATATAAGCCTATATAAGCCTTTCATTTTTCAATAAAAAATAAGATTTTTTTTTTCTTTTGAAATGTAAATACAACTTATTGATTGGATTGGCTTTGATTGGATTTATTCGGTGTAAACACCAAGGATAGCCCACGAAAGCCTAGAAAAAGACTTATTTCCAGTGGGGTCCTTCTGGTGGTGATTGGGCAGTACACCGGGAGGAAATCCCTACTCTTCTCCAAAGAGTGTACTACATTCTTCAACATGCAAATGGGCCATAAATGCACACCGGACCAATGGCTTAAACGTCTCATCCGAAAGACGGTGCGCTATTGTAACTTGTATTTCAGCCTTCCAGCTGAAACACAAGGAGAGGCAGCGATGGGAATTGAACCTGGGGACCTAGAGATCTCCATGGGTCAGCGCACACACAGTGGCTACCACCAGATTAGCCGACTGAGCTAAGCTACTCTCTTATCATTGATGATGGAAAATAAAAAACGAAACGAAAAGTATTAGGAAAAAAGCCATTGACACCATGACATCTGTTTTGACTCTGAAATACAAAATGAGCAACAAAAAAGGTTGGGTAGAGGAGTTTACAAGTTCTACAGATCTGGAACCCCAATGCAAAACCCTTTATCAACTGACTATTGAATAAAGAAAGACAGAGAATTGTAAATTTTGATTGAATATTAAATTTTCTAGGCTCCTTGAATCTTTCTGGTAAAAATGATGATGTTACTTTAAGGTACAAATAATTTGGTTGTTTTATATAGGAATAAAATTAATAAAAAATCTAATAACTGATACAGAACTTTACCATTATAAATATTATATGTGACCGGCTCTGTCAAAATCTTCTGTTTGATGCAATCTAGTAAAGCACCCAAAATGTTGTAGAATCAGAATTTTGAAAATTTTCATGTTTTTGTATTTCATAAAATAAGATATTTAAGTACATTGCTGCAAAATATCAATCACTAAATCTAACTGAAAAGTATATTAACATTATTTTTAAAATATAAATCTTAATAATAAACTATTGATTTTGGAATCTTTGGAAGCTGTTTTCTCAAAACGTATATGGCTGATATCCAATGAACTAAACATTCATAACTTTGCTAATACTCAACTGATTTCATGCAGAATTTAAAAACACCAAAAAATAAACTTTTCTTACAAACGACTGGTTTTGCTAGAGCCGGTCACATATGTGTATCAGGACAAGGTTTATACACAAATGAAGATGACTATGGAATGATTATGAAGATGATGATGACGACGATGAAGACGATGAAGATGATAAATGATTATCTCACCTTCACTCCTATAACATCACCATCTTTGAGTTGGTAAGGAGCATGTTTCAGATTCAACCTCTGGTTCTGTCCTCCTTTTCTTTTGCCTTTTTGTCCTTTATTTTTCTGAAACTTAGAAAATAGGAAGTAAAGTCATTAAACAGTGGTGTATCTATTGGGGTGGTAAATGCACCCAAAAATAGCCTGCACACCATTACCACTGAAAATTTGCTGAGCAAAAAAATTATACTCAAATAGTTTTTATTTTATTTATTTATTTTTTTTATTAACAGGAGATTATTCAGTGGCCCCTTAAATAGTTAAACATACCCTCATATCACCTATATATTGCTAACACCCCACCCCCACTAATCATTGATCCCTTCTTGACCTTTGTGCATCCCAAACAGTTACCATGTAAATACTCCTAGCCTAGATATGCCACTTTTTCTAAATGTTGATAATATTTTCTCTGACCATCTGACCAATATTTTGCTGAGATAAATATTATATTGAAATAATAATACTTTTATAATAAAAAAACTTAATAATGACATATTTTGTTAAATTATTAATATTATTATTAAGTGCGCTGCATAGAAACACCATAAACGTGCGCATCAAAGAGCAAAGTTGGGCTGTTGATGACACAAAGTTTAGCTAGCTGGTACAGTACAGTATATTTGGATGTTAACACACTGCTAGAATAGAGCCTAGTTATGGCAGAGAAATGGCAGCCAAAATCTAGTCCAATATATTAGTGGCAGTCAAGTAGCCTGTTTGGCTTTAGGTCTAAAAATTTCAGGTGCGATATTTGATTTCTAAAAAATTGCCAACCTGAGACAACTATATAAACTAAATGTTTGATGTGTTTCAACATTTTACATTGTCAAATTATGATACTTCGAAAATCGTTTTTGAAGTTTGAGAGTGCTATTTCTCAATGTCTAGAAGTGCTAAATCCTAAAAAAAAAATCGCAACCTGAGGTTGGTGTAGACTCTCATGTCTGAGCAATACTGGAATGGTTCCGCTGCCCCTGTATTAAGTCATGCTACATAATACAGTTTTCAAATTTTTGTGTAATCCCTTAAATGCCTGGTGGTAAGTTTTTTTCTAGTAAGAAGTCTCTAAAAAAGCAAAAAAAAACAAAACGACCTGTTTCGATCTATGTGCCACACAGATTAAAAATTAAAACTTGTTTGACCCTTGTAAAATATAAATTCAACGTTTAATTTGAATTTTTTGGATGTTTTTTTAAACATTATTAGTCAGTATACTATTAATACAATACTATGGTGACTTACTTGTGAACTATTTGGAATAATAATCCAGTTAAATTTCTCTGGTTGGTGTTTAGCGATGATGATCCTTTCTAACGGTATCTTGACCCTGTCCACTAAGGCTTGCTTTAGAGATTCTGGTGTTTGTGAACGAGTTGTATCCCAGATTAATTCCTCACTTTTGCTGTAACTCCTTAATTTAACATTGCGTCTATGTATTGCTAGTACTATTGTATTTTGCCTTTGATGGAAGAAAGAAGTGTTGAGTTATTCTGTAAGTGAGTTGGTAGCACTTTTATTTGTATACCAGACCTACACTTGATGAAGGGAAAAATCCTATAAATGAGAGTACAGTACTACCAACCATTTTAACTAACATGTTCATGTAAGCATTTATTTTTATCAAATATTAAACAATGAAAAAGTAAACAAGTATTTTAAATAAAAAATATGGAAAGTAATTTAAAATATGGAGATACACCCATCTTAACCCACCCCCACCCCACCATAACAAACATTAATTATGATTTACATATTATAGAAGAAATCTACACTAACCAAAATTAATTGTTTTCCATAAATAGATACATAGATAACACCTGCTCATTATGTTCTTAATTACTTAATGGTCACAAAGACAAATAGCTGATAGAATAAAAGTGTTTACTTTAAATTTTCTTCTTCCTGTAAAATTTGCACTCCAAGTTTTGTGGAGGAGTTGATTTTCTGTCGTCTGTCAAAACAAAAAAAAAAATGGCTCAGTCAAAAATTGGTATCATCACTTGGTACATGATTGATAGAGCTCCCAAAAAGGACTTTAAGGAATTTTACCTCTGAAGTTATCCACTCTTCTTAGTAATTGAACACGTCCCAACTCTATCATATCACATATAGGAAAGAATTTAAGATCAAGCTTGGCACAAATGCAAATACAAGAAACCTAAATGTATACATTGAGACAAAAGAGGCTCAGAGACTTTAAACATTCCAGACAATCCATTGGGAAAACCCATAAATCATCAACCAAGTGAAGATGAATGTTACGCAAAGCGAGGTCATCTGGGTTAGGTCACTGGTGAATAAACTAACAATAACATTGATGTTTAAGCCTTGTTGATATCACAGGTAAAAATTAAGTTAAAAATTAAAAATGTATGTTACTTTTATGAATATGATTCTTGTTACGTACCTAAGAAGTTGTTCATTATTCCTAAATACTCTGGTAAGCATTGAGTGCTCCACTTGACGTAGCCTTATGTAATGAGTTGATGGTAAGCTGATATCCAAGCCACTGAGCTCTTTCAGTATTAAACCTTTTAGCATATCAACGGTTGCATCTTCCAATACCTCCACATTGTTGAGGTAAATATTTGTCCCTTCAATTTCAGACAATGGTTCATTGTCTTCTGAGTTGTTGAAGAGACCTTTAAAAATTAAATTTGTTTAACCAGTTAATTTGTTTATTAATGAATTTATATACTGTACTTAGATCAGATAATCTTATTATTCTATAGTAAAAATTTAATAAATATATAAAGTATATATATGTTAACATAAGAAACTTTTACAAATTTAGAAGGGAAGGAGTTTATCTGTGTAGATTAAAGACATTTTTACAGCATGTGAATGTAAAAATGTAAATATTGATTAGAGTTAAAAAGCATGAACGAGACGATTAAATAGTGACCTTTCTATGTTGTTCTATTACTATTGCATTTAATGTTTAAATATGGTTAAATGCACTTTTGTTTAACTTGAATTGCAATATATATATATACATATACTTTTATTTTTTTTATTGTCTTCTTTGTGTTATTTTAGTTTGCATGACATTTTAGAAAGACTATTTGTGCTTTTTAATCATTTGTATCATGTACCATTTTAATAATAATAATAATTCTGGATTTATATAGCTTTGTTTGACAATAGTCCATAAACTGATACACATTCAGATAATAATAGACATTAAGATACCTTTCATTATAGTTGTTATCCAATTAAGTATACTAGATTCTGCTTCAGTATCTGGAATGTTAGGCGGTGGATACAGCCACACCGGCAGACTCAAAAACCCTCTTGGTGGTAACTTCCCTGCTTGAACTAGGACGTGCTCCCCATCTTTTACAGTTTCTTGATCAAGGGATGCATCCTGAAGAAAGGAGGAAATATCATCATCTCAATCTTCCTATTTTGCAGCCAAAAATCTAAATTATCTCTTGTATGTGCTTCATCTACCTTTGAGCTAGTAATATTGTTATTATAAATTTCTTAGATTCTTAATTCTATCATATTATTCAAATCTAAGTATTGTATTTGGTTTAGTTAAGATTTTTGTGTATTTTTGGATTCACCACTCGGAAACAAGCGAATGCCACTGATTCTACATTGATTTCTAATAAATGAATTGAAATTAAATTATGTGGAATCAAATGCACAACTGGAAATCATCTGCAGTGGGCAAAGGGGGTTGCAGATTGTACATGATTGAGACTGTATACAATGACAAGGCAAACACAAGCCTATAGAGACTACCACACTATAAAAATCTAACTTAATAATATAATTGCAGTAATAATAATGGTAGATAACTGGTAATAATTAGTACTAATACTTCATTGGATTATAATTAATTTATAAATTTATTATATTACATATTGTTTTATTTCATAATTTCTTTTTATTATAAGTAGACTGTTTTCTTGGCAAAGTAAATATTAACGTTGTTATAATCACCATTGGCTGTGTTTATTTTCTTCACCTTAATACTGATATTGTCTGTGTTGTTAATCTGTGAGTGTAGTACATTGTATAGACTCATGTAGCAATGATAATACAATAAGTCATCAATAGAAAAAATTATGTGATTAACTGATCTGAAAAATAATGTTGAGCAGTGCAAATAAAACACTTAAAAACACATATTAATTGTTCAGAATTTTGAAGAATTACCAAGTCATCCAAAACATCAGCAGGCTCCCCAAGCCAGTTAGTTTTCTGTAGATGATACATATCTCCCTTGAGGTCAAGGGTTACCAGAATAGCACGTAAACACTAGAATATGACGACAGAAAAAGTTGCAGTTAAGAATCATAATAAAGTAAAAGTAATAAATAATTTTAATTAAAATAATTTTGATACAGGGGTGGTGTCAGTGGGGGTTGGGGGCCAGTGCCCCGTTGGGCAGAGCTGCCCCTCACCCCCTGTCGGGGAGAAAAAAAAAAGGATTTTCTACATATTAGTATACTCTAAAATCGATTAAATAAGCATTTAAAACCACTAAGTTGTCATATTTTTCTGGGGCTTCACCCCCCTGGACCACTTTCGAACATTTGAGTGACGCCCGACCATGCCCACTTTGCCTTCATCAGGGACCTCTGAAACCCCCGTTGTGCAAATCCTGGCACAACCCCTCTTTTGATAATAATCAAAATCATCATTATTATGATCATAAAAATTATCCAATCTTGATAAATGACAATCATGGTGACAATCATGATTTTCGTTAGTTTGTTAATGGCTCTACTAATAATAACTAAAGAAAAATGGTTACCATGCCAACTGTCATGGTCCTGTTGACAATCATCTCTTTTCTACTATTTGATTCTGAGGAATTACCCGGCATTCCAAGACTAAAACTTACTGTAATCTAAAAAATAAAAAAAAATAAAAACTTGGCATTTTATTGTAAGATACAAAAAACAAACAAAATTTCCATATTATAATTTAACTAAATTGGTGCAAGATACAATTGCCTCTATTCAATAAAAGAACAGCATTGGCAAGTTTTAAAGAATGCAACATGTACTCCAAAGTTTATCCCTTAATGCTGTGGCATTACACCCTCTAATTAATTCTAAAAGAAATAACAGACTTTTTAACTAGTGTTACCTGATTGTGTTTTGGTGGAGCACCAGGTTCTAATATTAGGCAAGAATTGTGTCTGATCTCAGCAGCACCAATACTTTGCTGTTCAAACACTGAAAATAACCACAAAAAATTTTATAAACACTCCAGTAGCTAAGATAAGGTAAATATTTATGTTCTATTACTAACATTAAATTCAAATGGTGTTAAATTTTCATATAAATCTACATACTTGCACAGTTTTTCTACAGTCAATAATAAAAAATAAAAAAACATAATAAAAATTATTTTAATTTAGCAGGTTCAGTTAAAAAATATGCTAACATATGCATATAAATTGGTAAAGAAAATAGTTAAAACAGGTACACAAACAACCAACTCCTTGGTTGGAAACCAGGAAGATATTGAAGGATATTGAAATTAGCAACTTACATGGAGGTTGGCACCCGACCGTTGCATCACATACACGCAAACGCCCTCCTCCATCAGGTTTCATATCGCCAGTTAAGCCAAGTTTATTTAAGATAACTAACTTAAGTTTCTCAATTGTCTGCAATTATAATGAGGAAAAAATGCAGACATTATTATTTATAATCCCAGGTGTTTTTTTATTTATTATATTCAACCGCTGATAAAAATTAGGGATAAATGTAATACAATTCATTCACTTGTAAGAGCATCATTCTCAGTGTATAAATTACACAAGTGGCCATTTACATAAACCTAAAAATGGACAAACTTTGCTCAGGCCTAATTAACATGAGAGTTTGCCAAGCTTGAGCATGGCCCTTTTTTGGTGGTGAATCAGGCCGGCTCTGAGCTGCCAGCAGGCGAGCACCGGGCTAGCTCCTGCCTCTAAGGCTTTATGGTTCAGATATGTAATCCTGATCATTATCATTTTATTATTTTACAACATCATCGCTGAGAGGTCCATTGCTTCACCTTGCTTGATGCTCTGGAAATCTTTCTGTGTCAGATTTTATCTTGAGCATTGAATTCAATCAATCAACAAGGATTTATACAGCGCAAATATCCATGGCAGAATGCGATGTTCATAGTGGCTCTATGACAATGGTATTTACTCAAAGTGCACATTGACTGTGAGGTTAATTAACAATGCTTGTCAATGTCATTTAGGTAAAATGAAAATACAAAGGAGATGCAACTTACTTGGTCTGATTCAGTTTCAACTTCAATGAGAGGCCAGTCATCATCCTCCTGGTTAGCAACACATCGATTCTCAATTTTAACTCTCACAAGTTTTTCTTGTCCTAGCAATTCACCTTCAGCAAAAACAGCTTTCCTATATGAGCAATAATCACAGAGAAGACAAAATAAAACAACAAATAACTCCACAGCTCTCCTTGTGTTTCAGCAGGAGGGTTGAAGTTTCAATACTGCATTGCTTTTCAGATGCAGATGCAACTACATGAGATGATGAACCATGGGAGCTTTGCCCCCCAAAAAACCCAACCATGGGCTCTGCCCCTGGACTCTGCTGGGCCCTTAGCCTGCTTCCAGACCCCCGATTTAGGAGCCCTGGCAGCTACTGCATACTGGATTGTGCTGGTCTAAGCGGCCCTGGATGTAATTTCATTATGATTGTATATTCTTACTACTGATTATCAATTTTCTCCAGCAAAGTCAGCAAAAAAGAAAAAAAAAAAGAATTTGCATTAAGGAAGCTCATTTTATGTTTTCTCAATAATTATTCTGAGAGATAAGTTAGTTTGCAAAGAGCTATGTGACTAGCACCAACTATCAAGGATGCATAAGCCTGCAGAGCTCTTGTGTGTGCCGTTCTTTAGACATTTGAGTCTTACTCTTACCCTATCCTTGTCTTGGCCTCAGCACAAATTTTATCACAGTCAAGAAACTTCAACTCTTGTAATGATAGCTTATCATCAGAAGCACCCATAACAATATGCTTTTTAGAGGAGAGTTTACTGATCAGCAGGAATTCTGGTTGTATTTCAGTGAGACGGCTGATCATTAAACGCACTTCTCTGAACTGAGAATGTTTAGGGAAAGCATGTGAGATTTGCCCTTTGACACCATTCCCATCAATCCAGGTGATGTCCAGAAGAATCGGCTCAGATTGCTCACCTGTCTTGATCACCTGACCACTTACCTGCAACCAAAATCAATTAGTATTATAATAACTGAATCCTAATGATCTTATTATCAATAATCAATATTTACTACAGCATTATTTATTATATTTTCTTTATTATAATTCTCTTTCAACATTGAACTCGTATTCCTGATTCTACATTTTATAAATCATTTTTATATCAAATTCTTATCATTACTTTTTTGTTTTATATATTTATTATTATATTATATCATTTTATAAATAAAAAAAAATTATAAATGTAAAAGTAGATGTAAAAGTATATCTTTATTAAAAACCTTGAATCCATCCCAAAGGAACAGCTTTGAACCAGTAACAAGTCCGAGGTGATTGATACCAGCCGATGCATATTCACTAATCATGTCATACAGGTGTAGGCCTGCTGGCAGCTCTTTGGCTATACTCAGTTGACTTCCTTCCACAAAGGTGTCGCCTAAAACCTTTGATGAAAATAATTATGTAACAATAAATAATATAATTATAGCATTTAAATTCATATATAGGCCTACAAGAAACAGATGATTATCAAACTAACCCTCTTGGCAAAGTAGTGAGGGAAGAAGGTTTAAAAATTTGGTTTACACACGACACTTTGCCAGGCAGCTTCAAATACATCAGGGTACGTTTTGCCATTAAATTTAACAAATTTTTTTTTTTTGCAAATCAAAGGTATGCGCTACTCACTTACCTATTCTGATACTGTTGTGCCCCCCACACACCCCGCCCCCTTTGAAAAATTCTGGATCCGCCCCTGCTCCTGGCTTTTACTGTTTACATTTTATGATGTTGCCAAAACCTGGAATACTCTTCCTCATTTTATTTAACTCTGGGGGAGGATGACTTCAAAAACTACTGTGGCTATCTTGGCATCTTTCTATATTATTGTATTTAAATACAGTATTTCCAAATTGTTAATAAAGAGAGCATATTCAACTCACCTCTTGTGTTGCAATAATAAGCTGTGCAACATCTTTCCGTCTGTCTATTTTTAGGGATGTCACACAAGTATTGCTATCAGTTTTTAAATGTAAACTTCCCTGTTTGTAATGATAGTCCTGACTATGAAGTACTGTTAATGTAATTGTATTAAGTTCTATGTCATGTTCTATTCTCTTGGTAGTAAGCACTGAGTTCAACTTAGCCATTTCTTTGATGATATCCATTGGAATACCAAAGGCAGGGTTGGTATAGGCTACAGAAAAGAAATCAAATCAAATTCTGTTATTGTCATAATTGTAGCATTTATTATGTTATTTTGATACAGTGTTTATTTATATGGGCAATGTGCAAACACGATATATAAGTTTGTGAAGTTACTAACAACCAAGTACTGTACAGTAGTAATATCTCCAAAAGGTAAATCAAGTATATGAATCCATTTCATTTAACATGTAGGTAATGAATGATACATAGGCAGTACCACCACAGAAAAATTTAAAAAAAACCAAAAAAAAACCCAATTATCGCAGTGGCAAAAATAATCCGTTTTACAGGGGAATAAGGTTGACTTCATCAGAGGGAATAAGACCGAGTTTTTCAGGGGGCAGCATAAGGCTGCATTTTTCAGGGGGCAATAAGGCTGCATTTTAAAATCTACTTCACTAATTTGTAATGTTTACAGTAAATTAGGTGTTGACAACTGTAAATAATAATCTTAATAAGGAGACCCAAGTATACCAGCATGAAACCATGAATGTCACTCCAAAAATTGACAAGGCCATTTTGTCCTACATATTCTATTCACATATTAATTAGGATTTACTGTTAAGTTGTACTGTATATAGTTTGTCTCTGAATTACATATTATTCCTGATAATGCTTAAATAAAAGCGAAACAAAGAATAAAATGGCCTTGTATATTTTTTGGAGTGATATATCAGCTGGGTCTTATATTGTAGCTCAGCTGGTTAAGCATCTAACAATGGAACTAACAAAGAACATAGTTTAGCAACACTACATGTTCAGCTATGTTCATGTTCACTTATTTCACAATATAGTTAACAAAATAATTACTAAACTTGCATATAGGGCAGTTTTGCACATAAAATATTAGTACCATGTTATCATGTCCAAGGCACCCAATTAAGCACTTTGGTAGAGGATGTACATATCTCTCATAATGATTCTGCATACAGTACCTCACATAAAAATGAGTATTGTAAACAGTTTTTTAACACTCTGCCCACCAAACACGGAGATCTCCGTGTTTGGTAACGCAACGCTTGACCGCCAAACACGAAGATCTCTGTGTTTCATTATTTTTTACGGAATCCGATAGATGGGATAATTACTAACATGTACTAAAAATTTTAACACTATTATTATTCAGTCTGGACCATAAGTGTTTTGCTACTTCAGTGTGACATAATTTCAGTGACCTCATCTTGCATGGAGATACTAAAACACGGTTATCTCAGTTTTATTGTGTGAATATGCGTAAAACAACAAAAATGAGTCACTTTCATTTTACTGTTAGGGGTCACAGATTGTGATTAGAATAAAGTGTTTGGTACCATTGTAAAGCTAAGATCTTTGTAGCTCTTGTAATATTTAATTACATGTAAATCTGATCACATACACACTTTCAACGAGCTTCAGAAAAGTGATAAAATTCACTAAAAAGTCTGGCATTGGCTGATACTATTTTTTCAAACCCCTGGCAGTCAGTGTTAAAGTGAGTCCTACCTTCCTTAGGTCTAGGTAGAGACTTCCTTCTGTAGAACAACATATAAGCACTTTCACGTCCACTAAACTGTTTGTGAATTTCTTTTTGATGTATTGGCTTGACATGCGAGTCATTGAAGTCAAACCAATGTTGATGTTCATCCATGTTGGGCCTAAAAAGAATTATGATCAGTCTAACAATCTACTTTCAAATGATAATTACGATGATGAAGATCATAATAATAATAAAATAATAATCATCATACCAAGATTCTTCAATATTGAAGAATATTATATAATAATAATAAACATAATAATATGATATTAATTTATTGTTGTTAAACCTTCATTTTTAAATGAACAAAAATAACATCAGCATTTACCTGGACGTTTCGATTACAATCAGCGATCCTTTTCAACTGACTGTGTTGTTACTTCAGTTTGGTTGTGACGTCATCAGTTACAACATAATGCACTGATGTTGGTTGGGGCCCCGTCTGCCCCTGTTGTGTTCAATTATTCGTTGTAGATATATGAGAGTTAATAAGAACCCGCGTCCCTGTTCATGTTATCTTAATCCAAATGGATTCAAAAATTTTTTTCTGTTGCTCCTCCCCAAGCATGGCGTAATCAGTAATTGAAACATCCAGGTAAATGCTGATGTTATTTTGGTTCATCATTCACAAATGAACCAGATGAATTTTTACAATCATATGATATTAATTATAATCAATTATTAAAACATTAACATTATACAACCACTTTACATTCAATGGGAGACAGAATGTATCTTGTGCTAAAACATATTTGTAGTCAAGGACGTATCCAGGAGGGAGGGGAGCCATAGGAGCCGCAGCTCCTCCTCCGCCCCCCCCCCCCACCATTTGTACACAGTGTTACCATTTTAAAGCTTGTTCTTGAGCCAATACAAATTCTTTCCTGGGATCACTCAAAATGAATACTTCTAAAACATGTAAATATGCATAAGGACACGTAATACAAATAGGCCTAATAGAACACATAGGCCTAAGCGTTTTAAAAAGTACAAAAATCTCAGGTCTTTTAAGATATAGAAATGTGATCTGTATGGTTCAATTCTTTAAAGTTTTGTTTAATAATACTACTATTAATAGTAATAATAATAATAACAATAATAATAATAATGATGATGATGATGATAACGATAGTAATAATTGATAATATTATTAATAACATTAAAAATAACACAAGAAAATTGTGCTAAATGCGAAAAAAAAGTTGTGATTTGTTGATCATAATTATTATAGCATAGTTCAAGCTCATTAGGCTATAGTTAGGCCTAAGTTGTCCTGGATATTAAATAGATTTCCTAATAAAAGACCATGAGAAATTTGTTGGTATTTCATTTTGACTATAATGGTGATGCAATGATGATGAATTTTACTATATAAAAGTGTCATTTCCCGCCATCTAGATGTACTATTTCATTAAATTTTCTCACCTCTGCCCCAACCATGGTGGGGCTGAGGTGGTTGTGAAATCACGGTTTAAGTTTGTAAAATACATACTCAAAGACAATGTTTTTAAGCTTTGTTTTCTATGATATATCGCACACACATTAATAAGATCTCTATGGTTGCCAAAAATCTCTGATAGAAGATCATAAGAATTTTTTTAGTGCTTCATTTTGACTAATGGTGATGTGATGATGATGAATTTTACTAAAAAAAAGTCATTTCTGGCCACCTAGAGGTACTATTTCCTAAAATTTTCTCACCTCAGCTGCAACAATGGTGGGTCTGAGGTGGGCGTCGACTTACAAAATATCCACCCCTCCAACTTTCAAAACAGATCTGAGCCCTTCCCTGGATGACATTAAACTTCATCGAGTCAGCACCTGACTCAGAGTATGTCTTAGTGATTGCTGAGGCAAGGGTCCATACATTTGTCTTTAGGATGTGATCTGGTTTTCCATGCCTATTTTTCGTGATTATGAATATTTTGGATAAAGAATGTTTTGAGCAGAGGTGGATTCAAGACCCACCCCCTCTCCTCATTTTTTTTAAGGAAAAAGAAGAAAAATATGTTCAAATTAAGTGTGATAGTGTAATTTCCGGCCATCTAGAGAAACCCTAATTATAAATTTTCTTACCCGAGACCAAATCATAGTGAGGCTGAGGTGGGTGGTTCCTCGGTCTGTGAAAGTCCCTACCTGGTTCACCTCTCTTTTGAATTTCTGGATCCGCCACTGTTGATTTATTATATAATTATTGTTGCGCTTACTAATATTATTTATAATGCATCTATTGCAATTTTCACTTTATCCTCTCAAAACATCCCTAAGAACGTTCAGAGTGCGTTACTTCACATGGGGATTTTCCCATGGACCCCCGCAGGGTCCTACGCAATTCACATAACGGCTCCCCCCTTTCAAAATCCTGGCTACGTCCCTGTTTGTGATGAATACGGAATCAAACCCAAGACTGGATACTCAAAGATAGCAACACATTACATACTGTAAGTGATCTGGTGGTTGTATACTGCTCATCAATTCCAACACCTTCAAATTATGTCTATGTAGCAACACATTACATGTCTGTAAGTAATCCGGTGGTTGTATATTGCTCATTAATTCCAAGACCTTCACATTATATCTATGTAGCAGGTAATAATCAATGCTTCTGGATGCAAGTTTACCAATTATTTTCCAATATTCGTAGAAAGACAGATAGCAAGCAAAATAGACAGTGTGGGTTTCAATCTTAACTTTAAAAATGAGATCCTGAACTGATAATAATAATAATAATAATAATAATAGTAAAAATAATAATCTTAAACATCACTCACTCTGTATTCAATACTCCCTCCAATTCTCTTGCTGTTGAGTTGTTTACACCAAGTTTCTGCTCAGCAGTCTGACCTTTAACCTGCTGCTCCTTAATAGTCTGTTTATCGTTATTGGTACCATGTGACCCTGTATCATGTAATTGCTTGTCATGTGACTCATTCTTATGTAAAGATACAGTGTTGCTACATGGATCCACCATAAATAAATCATTATACTTCTTGAGAAACTAAAAATAAAAAGATTTTCAATGAAAAGGTAAGGTAGAGTACAATAAAGTAGAAGTATATGTGTAAAAATAGGAAAAATTTACATACTTAATATACAACAAACCACTTCAATATGAAATTCTGTATATTATTATAGTTAGCTAACCTTTGTCACTGTTCCATATTGCTTCTTAAACTGTTTGTTCCATGAAACTCCAGTTGTCTGTATAAGAGCCTAACATATAGAAACACAGACACATTAATGAACCAGACAGTATGTTAATACCTTTATGAAATGAAACTGAGCCCATAAACAAAAAAGAAACCCAAAAAACGAATGAATATATAAAAACAAAAAGCCAAAGCAATATTATCACACAGCTAAACTACAACTAAAATAATCATTGATAGTAAAATTAATACAGGTAGAACACATCTACCAAATCCCAGTTCATGCTTGTACAATGGGGTCAATTGCTTCTCTGATACCCACAATAGCACCGTAACGCCAAAATTGGTCCGGGTCAAAAAATGTTAGGCGGACAGATTTTGGCGGCCAAAATATGTCCGCCAGACTACTAAAATCGGTCCTCTGGATTGATTTTAGCTGCTAAAACCTGTCCCGCTTGGATAAAATTGGTCCGCGTCGGCCTGGTCACTTAAACTGTAACTCGTCTGCTGCTAGTAGTTTATGATTGTTTCTCCCGTGGAGTGGAGGAAAGTATGCTTCTCCCACACTTGCAAAGTCTTTTGCAGTGACAGAATGATTTGTTAAGCTTTTGAGGAAGTGTTTTATCAAACCACCAGATACTGGTAATGCATTTCCTAGGGCTAGGCGATGCACACAGAGTGCATCATTTTCGGCGGCCGTGGTAGGCCTACGTTTGGGCCTAAAATGAAACACAAGACTGAATTATTAGTTTTAAATATTCCGTATTATTGTGTGGGGTATTGGGTCATATAATAGATATGTTCTAATACATGAAATAAAAGAGTAAGCATTCTCAGAATTGAATGCATGTACTTCATCACGGAGCACACACAACCAAAACAAAACAAGGTAAAAAATGAACTACAGCGGACCAACACGATTTAAGACCACATCGTTTAAGTTCTTTTCGTACTTTTACACCAAAGGGTTTACTAGGCGCGAAGCTTTACTTAATTTTCACCAGTGATTTCACCTATGATTTCACATACAATAACGAATGAAACATATTAGGCTATATAATAAAAGATAAGATATTTATCTATCATTTGATTACAAAAAAATATGAACGTTATAAAAATACCAGTTATAACTATTAAATAGACGCCAGACCGAATTTGGCTTATGTGGACTATATTTGGCAGGTAATTTTAAAGCCAAAATCGGTCCGGCGGACCGATTTTGGCCCCGGACCAAATTTTTCCTGACAGCACCACCACTCACCCATTTGACTTTAGTTAATGATATAGTTACCTTAAATTATTTAAATTCATACCTGGCAAAGTTTATCTATAGCCATGCTGAAACCAGGTCCGCCTTGCTCAGCCAGGATCATCGCCAAGCACTCCATTGGAGAACTGAAAATCATTTTATCCTCAGATGGTTTTTTCGAATTGTTCTTTGGTTCAATTACAGTATATTCTTCAACCTATAGATATTAAATAATAACTTTGACTTCGAGCAACTCCTTATTCACAAACTTATTTAGTTGTTCCATTTAAATTTCTCTTTGATTGCACTATAAAACCATAATGCTTTCTGTTTTCTTGTTCAGTCTATAATTTTATGTATCGATTTATAAGTAATACACTCCCAATCCATATTACCCTATTATTCCCAACCCAACAGTCTGAAATTCATAACTATCCAACCAGGTTTTCAAAAAACAATATTACAACAGAAAGCTGAAAATCATTTTATCCTCAGATGGTTTTTTCGAATTGTTCTTTGGTTCAATTACAGTATATTCTTCAACCTATAGATATTAAATAATAACTTTGACTCCTTATTCACGAAAACTTATTTAGTTGTTCCATTTAAATTTCTCTTTGATTGCACTATAAAATCATAATGCTTTCTGTTTTCTTGTTCAGTCTTTTCAATCAATTGTAGAACTGAAATCATATTAAACAATACTGTATACAGGTGTATAGCTGAAAATCATAGCTTTTTTTCTGTCTGATATAATAATAATTTCTCTAAATCAGACTTAAGAGGAATATCGTTTGTGTTATTTCCCCCTATAACATCATTTTTTTTTGTTGTCTAATTTCTCCATTGTCTAAGTTCCCCTTAAGGTAGGTTTTAGTAACATAATATATTATATTATAATATATAATACTTTTTTGGTTGAACTGTCGGTCATATATTCATTGTAAAATTGTCAGCTATGAAGTGGTTCACATGTAAATGAACATGTGCAACATGATCTATGGGCATACTATTGTCTCTATATAAAAGACTCATTTGCAATATATTTACAATGTGTTTCTTGCTTATCTTTAATTGGAAAGTGTGTGATCAGTCAACTGTGACAGAAATGAGAACCGAGCAGACAGATGAGTAAATGCTGAAGGGCAGTGGTTCCACCCAAGCTCAACTACATATGTACCTAACTATATAAGACACAAAATAAATGAGAGCAATTTATGGTGCACCAAAAAGCACACACACTTAGATGATGATGTAGGATATGCATTTCACCTCAATGGTCTCATGTGCATTATGTGTTAAATGGCACTATGTATACAGTGGTGAAGGTCCACTGCATGTATAATACAGTGGCGGATTCATGGGGGGGAGGACCAGAGGGCCTGGAGCCCCCTAAATTTTTCAAAACTTTTCTACTCAAATTTTGAGTCTAAGAGTGCCATTTCTGGCCTCTAGAGGTGCCACAATCATAAATTTTCTTAGACCTCCATCTGTAAAAGTCCTATCTGGGCCCCCTCTATTTCAAATTTCTGGATCTGCCACAGTAATGTTCAATGTCCAAAAGCACATGTAATGAGTGTTCATGTTCAATTGTCTAATGTACTGATATACAGTACTCGTACATTATATTTTACTCACTGGTGTTTTCCATTGACCCAAACCATCAACATCTTTAATGTAGGCATGGTAATGGCCTCCATAGCAACTACCACGATGGATAACAACTGAATACAACTCATAAACTGCAGTGTCTTCTGTTTCTTCCTGTTCAAAATGATATTGACAAAATTAATTAACTGAAATGTTATTATATGTCAGCTGCTTAACATGAAAATACAACATGAACCATTGGCAAATCATATTTTAATCACAAAAAATATATAACAACAACAAAATATTAAAAATAAATTATTCATACATAACAATGATAATAAAAGTAATAAACACAATATTAATAATTTGATTTGAATTTCCTTTTAAATAAAACCAAAATTGATAATAAAAATAGTATTATATTATAATTACAATAGAAAATATTATTATTTATTTTTATATTTATTTATTTTTATAATTATTTATATTGTTTATGTATATACTCTACTTAATTGTACTACAGTACTGGGCTTTGAAATCTATTTTTGATTGTACTGTCTATGGAACTGATTTGATATATAAGGTGAATTGAATTGAATAATATACTACCCAACTACTACTATTAATAATAGTAATAAATTATTACAATTTCAATTAAAATACAATTATCCAAAAGATACCTTGTCACAGTACATCCTGAGGTCCAACTCAAAGGGGAAAGTGTACTTGCTCGTCTCCTTATACCTTTGCATCTTATCGTAATCAAAACTAAACCTTAGAAGGGACACAGACAGGATAGGTGGTAAAGACCGTAGCTTTGCTCCCTGCAAACAATAAAATGCATTGCAGAGTTTTTCAACTGTATTTGAATACAAAGATTATGGAGAATAACTGCAATGATTGGTATATGATATAAATGTAAATACAAAGATAGATATGTGGATAGTTTTTGATGGATAGGTTAATTGTACTACAGTACTGGGCTTTGAAATCTATTTTTGATTGTACTGTCTATGGAACTGATTTGATATATAAGGTGAATTGAATTGAATAATATACTACCCAACTACTACTATTAATTATAATAATAATAATAAATTATTACAATTTCAATTAAAATACAATTATCCATGGTGATCACCTCAGACAGTATATATATATATATATATATGAACAAATGACTGTTGCGATGGATGGTGATCACCTATTTATTATACCTTTGTAGCATTAACTAATTTACTGCATGCTTCGCATCTGTATTTGTTGCGGCCTTCAAACCGTTCTGTTTCTAAGTAGCAACTAGTCAAGTATTCTTCTAAGCTGGTGTAATTGGCAACTGCAGCAGTTAAATCAAAGAAGTCCTCCTACAGTTGCAGTATGGGCCAAAAACGAAAAATTGTAGTTAATAACTTCAAAAGCTCAGGTAGAAAAATATATTATCAATTTTTAAGTTAATTACTCAATGAATGACAAACAAAAATAATATGCAACAAACCAAATAATATGCTCATTCATTGGGAAAATTAGAAAAACAGGGGTAAATATAACTGAACATCCTAGAAAATTAAACAGTTTTAATGCATGACCAAATATTTTGCATTTAATGCAACTACTGGGATACAATTCAAATAATGCTGTCCAAGACTATATAATTATTATTTGCTATGTATTTGTACCTGATGAGTGTGGGCAGCTTTTAACAGCTGTCATACGAAACAAACTTGTAGTAATAAATACATATGGAATTTTTCTCAGTTTGTCTACTTTGTTCATTTTAATTATTATTTTATTTATTCTTTCTTTATACTGAATATACACATTCAATACATAGTACTGGTTTCCAAAGTGGTCCATTCTTAACTACAAAAATGTTGAAAGCAGATATATACACATTGTAACCAAAAAAGGTTGATAACTTAACAACAAATTAAAATAGATTTAAAAGGAACATTGTAAGAAACTTAAGAAAATAAAAAATTTAAATAATAAACATGGATATGCAAGGTAAGAGAAAATCAATTAAATTGGTATTATTGAGGATTTGAAATAGAATGTTTAAAATTTGAAAGTGTCATAGATTTAATGTTGGTTTTAGTATGATCCAGGAGTTTATTCCATAATTTAGTAGATCGGTATACAAGTTCTTTTAACTTGCATATTATTCCAGGTGTATTCAATTAGTGTATTTTTACTTTGACCGCGAGTAATTATGTTGCCGTTACTCACCATTCTTTCACTAACTCTCCCACACTCCTCACATGTAACCTGTAAAAAACAGAGGCTAAAATTATGTCCAAAAACTGATATAAATTTTAAAGTTTACTTTAACTCTTCTTATTAAACAATGTTTGTGAACACAAACAAGGTATGATTACCTTGTTTACAATGGATCCTTTGTAAAGTCTTTGAACTAATTGTTCTCCTTCTGTTCCAATCAGTGAGGCATCTATGGCACTAAACAGTATCCGGCTAAGCTCTTGTACATCGTGCTGTTGAAATCCCTAATACAATATAAAAAAAATAACCCTAAATAACATATTTTTTCTTCACATTCTGCATCTGGACTCACCAACTATATTATAAATTAAATTAATTGAGCTGGTCCAAGATCATTAATTAGAAGTACTGCATTTCCTTTATAAAGTAGAAAGAAATTTACACTCACTTAAGTGGCAAGATTACAAGGAACATATACTAGTAGGAAATATCCTTTTTGTCCCAAAGTGTATGTAAAATAGAGAGATAATGCCATATAAATGACTTGAGAATACATAACAAAACTATGTTGTAATGTAAGGCCTCTCTACATTGTGTTTCTGGGTATGTGTATAAGTTGGTAGTCTTACTTCTGATCCTGTCCAACCAAAACTATCTGTCAACTGAGAAGTATTGACTGATGCTTGATCCAAAAGAAGCAGACGGCTAAACAAATTCTGCAACTGGATTGGTATTACTCGGACCTGCAATGAATCATGGGATAAATGAGATGACTGCTTATTCAGAAACAGACAGTGAAAACTAAAAGGGGAGGGGACTTTTGTTAAGCAAGTCTAACCATTTTATGGTTTCTCCTCTATAAGTAGTGTATTATTTGATTGTGGAAACATAATTGAATAACACAATTCATCTAACATCCTGGTATAGATGTTGTAAACAGAAAGCTATAACTTACCTCCACTCATAACCATCTAATCTATACATAAAGAAAGAAACAAAGTCAACATTTTAAATTACTAACCTTCGAACCTGGTTTTCCTTGATCTTCCAAACTTCCAAGCTGAGAGGAATCAAGCTTAAACAATGCCTCTGTAAGCAAAAACCATTTTATTATGGTAGTAGTATTTTGGGTTTTACCTTCCACATAAAAGTAAATTACAAAGTGATCAGATGTTTTGTGAATTAGTAAATTATTGAGTTACTGTTTCTATAATTAGAGATAATTTTTGAAGTGGTTATTGTTCCACTGTTTTGCATGCCCCACCCCAATTTTTTCAAAATTATAAAGAAACTGAAGAAAAAAAGAAAATATATTCAAATTTAAGTCTGTGAGTGCCATTTCCAGCCATCCCAATGTGCCATAATCAGGAACTTTCTTACCTTGGCCTCAGCCATGGTGGGGCTTAAGTGGTTTAGATCCCCGCTTCACAAACTTTTTTAAACCTGCTCGTGGCACAGTGCAAAAGTTTGGCAAACCCACTTTTGAAGTCACCTTGAATCTTTGAGACCTAGAGATCAATGCTCATTTGTCCCTCTATCATTATTGAATCCTCTTCTATTATACGAGCTCAACTTTAGATGGTGGCCAGACCAGACTTTCTCTAAGCAACAGCCAATTTATCTGGTATAAAGACCACTGGTATGAAGCATTTACATTACTGCCCGTAAAATCTTGCGCTATTGATTCACAATTCACAACTCTAAATAACTTTGTATGGTCTGCGAACAACTTTATAAATGAATCGTAAACAATTTTGTTCAGATCATTAATAAAAACTACGAATAACAACAAGGGTCCAAGGACACTTCCTTATGGAACCCAGCTAGACACACATTGCCATCCAGAATGAACACCATTAACAACCACTCACTGTTTCCTATCTTTGTCTCAATCCAATTTAATAGGTTGCCAGATACTCTGTAAGACTTTAATTTTGACCATAACCTGCGATGAGGAACTTTGTCAAATGCCTTTTGGAAATCAAATCAAATGACAAACCACAATCCATCGAGTCCATTGATCAACAAATTCTAACAATTGGGTCATACAAGATCTGCCAGAGTGAAAACCATGATGTTCGTCTCCAATGAACTTGTTAGATTGCCAATAATCATAAACCTTGACTTTTTTTAACCAACTCATGGCCGGCGGAACCGAGGAGGGGGGGAATGATTTAAAATCAGAATATCACTGCAGCAGGCAGGTCATCTCCAACATTCTACACATCATACATAGATACATTGTCATTATTATTTCAGATATAGTATTGTATCAATATCAACATAAATTTGGCTAGATAGGCCTATCTAACAATGAAGTACTGTATCACAATGAACAGACGGCACTCATGAGGAAAGTACAAGAGCTTGGCTTACGATTCGCGGTATACTTTATTCGGCGTAAGCATAGCCTCTAAATAATGCCTGTCTCTTATACACATCTAGATGTGTATAAGAGACAGCCACCAGGACCACCCTTTATTTTTGGGATGGATTTATTTTTTATGGATTCATGGAAAAAAATCGTATGCAACTACTCAATTTTTTTTATGTATGTATACACACATAAGGCCTATCTACTGTAATAACAGGGATAAATTTACCTGACCGTTTTCAAGAGGGGAAAACCTTGAATTTTGAAGAACTTAAAAGTAATTAAAAGACACCTCAGAAGTCGGGAAAACTCATTTCACGCATTCTAGGAATCAAAATATTCAGGGGGAGAACCCCCCTTTCGTTTTGGGATTTATGGATTCATGGAAAAAATCGTATGCAACTACTCATTTATTTTTTTTATGTATGTATACACACATAAGGCCTATCTACTGTAATAACAGGGATAAATTTACCTGGCCGTTTTCAAGAGGGGAAAATCTTGAATTTTGAAGAACTTAAAAGTAATTAAAAGACACCTCAGAAGTCGGGAAAATTAATTTCCCGCATTCTAGGAATCAAAATATTCACGGGGGAGAACCCCCGGACCCCCCTTTCGTTTTGGGATTTATGGATTCATGGGAAAAAAAATTGTATGCAACTACTCAATTTTTTTATGTATGTATACACACATAAAGCCTATCTAATGTAATAACAGGGATAAATTTACCTGGCCGTTTTCAAGAGGGGAAATCCTTGAATTTTGAAGAGCTTAAAAGTAATTAAAAGACACCTCAGAAGTCGAGAAAACTCATTTCCCACCTTCTAGGAATCAAAATTTTCCCGGGGGAGGACCCACAGACCACCCTTTTCTTTGGAGCTTATCGATTCATTAAAAAAAGAATAAGTACTGTATGCAACTACTAATTTTTTATTTTTATGTAGGCCTATGTATACACACATAAGGCCTATTTCCTGTAATAACAATGGGGAAAAATTACCTGACCGTTTTCAAGAGGGGAAAACCTTGAAATTTACTTAAAAGTAATTAAGATACCTCAGAAGTCTGAAAAACTCATTTCCTGCCATCTAGGATTCAAAATTTTTCCGGGGGTGAACCCCGGGACCCCCGCTCCTTTTCTTTGGAGCTTATCGAAAGTTTACCTGACCGTTTTCAAGAGGGGGAACCTTGAATTTTGAAGAACAAAGTCATTAGAAACCTAGCTCAAAAGTCAAGTCATTTCCTGTCATCTAGAAATCAAAATTTTCCCGGGAGGACCCCCGGATCCCCTTTTCTTTTTGGGAAAAATGTTGACCCCCATCCCCTGGGTGTTTCCAGATCTGCATGATTCATATTACCATTCATCTTATAAGTGGGCCCCCACTTTGGATTTATTCGGTGTAAACACCAAGGATAGCCCACGAAAGTCTAGAAGAAGACTTATTTCCAGTGGGGTCCTTCTGGTGGTGATTGGGCAGTACACCGGGAGACAATCCCCTACTCTTTTCCGAAGAGTGTACTGCGTTCTTTAACGTGCACATGGGCCATATTAATGCACGCGGGACCAACGGCTTAAACGTCTCATCCGAAAGACGGTGCGCTAGTAACTTGTATTTCAGCCCACTAGCTGAAACACAAGGAGAGGCAGCGATGAGAATTGAACTGGGGACCTAGAGATCTCCACGGTTCAGCGCACACACAGCGGCTACCACCAGATTAGCTGACTGAGCTAAGCTGCTCTCTCACTTTGAAAAACGTTCCGCCGGCCCTGCAATTAACCAATTTCTCCATAGACTTACAAAACAAGTAAGACTCACTGGTTTATAATTAAAAGGATGGTTGTTTACACTGATTAAACAACAATGTTATCGATTCTCCAATTTCCTTTACTAGGGCTACTTCTTCTTTCTGCTTTAGACTGTGAACTCCATGTACGTTATACCAGGCATATCCATCCATACTTAACTAAAACTGGAGGACCATGGGACTCATCTGTAAAGTTTGGGAAGCGTGTGTTTAGATCCTCCATCTCTAAAAGCTCCTCCTGTCCTCCCCCCACCCCCCACCTTTTCGAATTCATGAATCCGGGCTGCAGATCTCCCAGAATTGGTTTCTTTCAACTTGGTTGCGACCAATGAGGCCATTGCATGGACAAAGTACAGACAAAAACAAGAGGATGGTAAATTCAGCATTTACTCGTATTTATACTCACAAACATTCAATACTATTGTTACCTTTAAATTCTGGAGTGTACAGTAATGTCTGTAACAGGGCGTTAAGATAACATGTTGCACCTTGATTCTTGATACCACACAGCCCATTCTCAGGCCTAGGATCAGGCGGTCCACTGTGTTGTTGAGCGGCCTGATCCTTTGTTGGTCTATTCTGTGGTCCATAAACAGGTCCTTCTTCCTCCTCAAACAATCTGTCGATTCCCAGCATTTTATACTAACATTGATTCCATAACTTCTTATATACGTTCATTTAGATAACTGTAATTTTACTATACTTAGGCCTACTATAAATTGCTTTACCAATATGAATCATCCAATCGTAACATAAATAGCGCCCTCATGAAAAATTAAACTTTTGTCCGTCGATGGGCGCCACACGCTATTTTGGAGACTGTACGGCTTTTTTACTAAAGGGACCCGGGACAAGGACACTTTTTGATAATGGCAAATATTCAGTTCAGACCAACACATATTCGACAGCAACCTCTATTAAGGCGACACTATTTCTTTTGACAACAAATGCAGTCGACTCAAAAAAGAATACATTTCATTTAAAATGTATACTGTACTGACAACTTTTGTTGTCATAACTTAACACTAAACCAGATATTTTCCCTTTTCTTTAAATAAACACCAGTAATTATTTATTCAAATATTATTTAAATTTATCACTTATTTATTATTATTTATATTTAGAGTATAGTAGGCCTGTTTCTTCATGGCTTTGACTCCTGGAATCCCTATGGGGTCTTACGCACTTTGCATAAAGGCTCCCCCCTTTCAAAATCCTGGCTACGTCCCTGAGTCCAATTAATTTACGTGTTGTTTAATTATAGCCTTTATTTTTTTAATTTACATTTTAAAAGTTTAAGATATTTAAGAAATTTCGTTTGTTAAATTCCAATTATTTAAGGAGTTATTCGTTCGTTCGTTCATTCCTAGATCCCTATGATCTAGTACATTTATTTGTATTTTAGTTATTAATAAAAAGAAAACAAATTGTTATAATTACATTTGTATTAGTTAATAAATTGTTAATAATTGGTTTTTATTGAATTCAAATTAATATTTTAGTCAAAATCCCTTCACTTTAAAAAAAAAAAATTCCGTTTACTTCATTAATCAGTTTCATACTCTGCATCACTTTCACACTTCCTTTCTTTTCTTTCCTTAATCTTTCGTTTCTTTCTAGGCCATTCATACCACAGTTAATTTTCTTGCGAACGCCTGGTATCCAGTGGCGGCTGTAAGATACATTTTCTAGGTCGGGTGATTTTTTTGGTGGGGGGGGGGAGGTGGAAGGGAGAAGCTGTCTGACAGGGAGGACAATAGAGACGAGCCAGTGGGGAGCCAAGGGTCTGAGAAGGGGTGTTCTCTCTCACAAAACTAGATTTTTAAAAAAAATTTTAAAAATAGGGACCTCTGGGTGGCCGGAAATAGCACTCTCAGACTCTGACAGACATGTGTTGCCTTGGCGTAAGCCTAATTCTCCCGACGAGCTCTGGCCAGTCGGTAGGGGGGGGGGACTTTACCGGTCCGATGTGGTAATCTGGAAAGGAACCGTCCGTGTGGCAAACAGGGACGACCAACAGTACACATACACATAAAGACCCGTCGGAGACAGGAAGGGGGACCGTGCATGGAGGAAAGGGCTTGGACTGCATTTCTGAGCTGGAGCTTCATCACAATTTGACCCAAGCAAAACACATAGCGCAGTGCATTTAGTTAAAAATATTATGTAATTCTTCATTAAATTAATAAACTGTTTATTACAGCCAATCATCAGGTTAAAACGCAATCTGCGTTGTCTAACGCGTTTACAACTGCTTACAGCTAAATTGAACGCAAATCTTCCGTAAAACGCATCAACAATATTTTTGTTACAAAATTTGAAGTTTGCACACTCGCCATCGAAGAGGTTGGATTTTTTATACCTCCTTGAAGGTTGGATTTAGTTAGGGTCCGTTTTACATTATGTTCTGAAGTCATATATATATATATATTATTCTTGGCTAGAGTTAGAGTACTAAAGTGCATTAGCACCATATTTATCACTAAGGATTACTTACAGATCTGGGCCTAGGCTAGGCGCCGCCTACTACTAGCTAGCCTTATTAGGCCTAAGTAGTACTAGCCCAGGCCTCGGCCTACTAGGCCTACTACCACTCTAGGCCTTGGCTAGGGGTTAGGCCTACCAACAACAACGCAGGTCGATCTAGGCCTAGGCACTAATTTTTGGCAAAATCTGCATGGAAATCGGCTCTTATTTTCCGAAATGTGTGCTCGGATTTCTAGACTAAGTTTTTGCGCGGACGATATATTCCCCACACAGTATTAATGCAGTCTGGCGATATTGTGACTTGTCGTCACTAGGCCTAGGCTAGGTCTATACTTAAAAATATTAAAATACACTAGGCTAGGCCTATGCCATAATTATACTGCTCATGGTGCAGGCCTCTAGGGGGGCCTAGGCCTTGTGAGAGCCAAAATTTTTGTTGTACTGTACCTTTTGTAAATGTGTATTGGTCGAATAAATAAATGAAATGAAAAATTTGCTCAATAGATAGAAGCACTTTGTTTACGCAGTCTCTGGAGTCACCCAGAAATCTGGATGGCCTCCAACCAAGCAGGAATCTCCAGGGAAATAACCCATCTCCCGCAAATTATAACTAAATAATATGCATGTTTTTACTACTGTATTGTCTCTATCATGATCTGTCTTAGAGCAAATAGAAAAGTTTATTAGATTATCACTCCCGCCTGCGTCAAAAATTTCGGGAAATATCAATGCGGGAATAAAATAAAAAATTTTTTTGCTGCATCGATTATTTCAAGAGCATAAAAATAACAATGCAATTTTGTGACTTCAAATACATTTTCTTTAAAAAACTATAAAATTAAACCAGTTTTTATACAATATTTACTATTACACACCAAATATAAACAGTCCCTCCCTCATCGATAAAAACAAAAGCGAAATAATCTATTGTTCAGATTTAAAAAAAACCAAAAAAAAAACCGCCCTCCCTCATCAATTTTTTGGAAAAAAAAGAGAGATAATCTAATAATTTTTTCTATGTGCCCTTATGGAAGTCAGTGTCTACTAAGTATCACCAATAGCAACAAAATAAAATTAGATGTTAAGAAAGCTTGAAAGTGCTTGATGTAAACCTAGGCTAAGCAAGTTAGCCTCCCAACCAGGCTATATTTCACAGTGCACCATAGATATTTAACAACTGTTAAAATATTTTTGGGCTCAGAATTAATTTTTTTATTATTCAATAAGCAACTAAATTTCGCCCTCCAATTCAAGACCACTTTCGGACCTGGAAATTTGGGGTGGTCTCGAGGTTGGTCTCCAATTAGAGGGCTAGCTTTGTGTTAAACGGTTGAAGACTGTTATTTGGGTCTTTGGAAAAGTGGTCTCGAATTAGAGGGGTCTCGGAATTAGAGGGGTCTGGAATTGGAGGGTGCACTGTATAATAACATCCTGGTGGATCGAATGTTCAGTACAAAATTTCATGACATACACTTGGTAAATTCATGTTCATAGGACCACATTTCCATAACTCTTATACATTTAATATTAATACAGATATAAAGATGTCAATTTTTACAACAAACTTGGTTCCACCAATTGATCATGTGACAACTTGTGAAAAAAATGGTGAGCTTGTTTGCAGACCGATTGATGAAGCAAATGAATCCTGCTTGCAGGACCCACTCTTTCAGGTAACATGGTAACGTACAATGAATTACTAAATTCTAAGTACTGTTATGACAAAACAAATCAAGTTATGATGATTTGTGCTTCAATTTGTGCAGGAAAAGAACTACCCAAATGTTGAACTAGCAGCAGAGAGCCTACGCTCATTAGCTACTCAAAAAAGTGCAAAGTCTGCATTTCTACCATGTAAAGAGACTCTGTGGAAACGTGCACTACAGGCTTGGCATGAACAGGGCTTGTGTGGTGCTCTAGAGGTGGTTGCTGAAGATGACAGTTATACAAGTAAGTTGAGTGAACATACACTAGATCAGATTTCATTGCTTGCCACAAATGTAGAACCTCAGCAAATGCCTAGCTGTAACACCTAACTAGAGCCAGATTTTTATAAAAGACAATCAGTGATAGTTGAAGAGGTTCAAAATATCTTTTATGGCAGGATTCATTAATTTTTTTTAAAAGAGATTCATATTTTTTAATATCATTCATTGGTTACAGTTGCAACATTAGGGAATTCTCCCCAGGGACCTGAGTAAATAAATGAAATGAAATGAACCAACGACCAGGGGATAATAACGTTAAGTGCATAGAAGTCTATAATAATAATTCATTCATGAGACTCTTTCACCCAGTGGGTGTTCTTACAAAAGGCCGCGAGGTACATAAATACAATTATTAAACTAAATTAAAAAAACAAAAATGCACATTGACAAAGCCAATTGTGTAATAACAACACCATAAGCTATTAAGTCTCTATAATATGCGCTCTATAAGTTGACCATTATTATTATTATTATTTTAAAATTCTAAGTGTTTTTTAGATGGATGATGTTTGTCCTGTTTTCAATTTGCAATATATATTTATGACAGGTACCAGTTGGACACCGTGGTTAGCATGCGCTAGTCTAGCTGCAGTACGCTGGCTCAACTCGCTTCACGGCTCTCTTTACCCACATTTAGTGGTATGTTGAACATGTGATTTCTTTTAGCATTTGATATTGTTCACCAAACACACATAAAATTGAGTTTCTCACAATTTCTAAAGTTTAAAACTAAACATGAAAACGTAAACATTTATTGGTGTAAAAATAAATTTTATAATGTGTTTCCTGTGTATGAAAAATACTACAAAAAAAAAAAAGAATTTTGATCTAAAGATTTATTGAAACATTTAGTACCTTAAAATCCACAACATTCTACACTTGAATTGCTTTTTAAATTTTTATCTTATTTGTATCAGCTATCCAATGAAGATATGATTTCTGAGTTTACTTCGATCCGTCACTGGCAAAGATCTGAGATATGTGCACTTGCATGGCATCCACACACACCCAAGTGTGCTGTTGCACTTAAGGACAATTCAGTCAAAATATTTGTGGCAAAAAGGTGATATACTGATTCACTAGTTTAATGTGGAAAATAAGCAAATCATGGAAAAAAGAACTAATTGTGTCTGCAGTTTTCACTGACTGACATTTTTCAGTTCTGTCTTTGATTTAGATTTTTACATACCTTGCAGCAATTTTTCCCCAACTTTTTTCCCACTTAATTACCTGTACCTACAAGGGTATGTATGTTTCTGTATTAATATCTATTCTCTCATCATCATTGCATAGAGACTTGTGTGTGCCCCCCTCACCCATAGTTTGTTTCATACTTTGTTAGTCAAACTTACAGGCTGTTCTATGTATGCTTATATTCAATTTAAACTATCATGCTTATTGCAGTGAAGTAGTCTCAAACCTAAAACACAGACTTCAGAAGTGTGTGGCAGCACTTGCCTGGAAGCACCACTCAGCATCAGTCTTGGCTGTAGCGTGTAAGACCTGCATTTTGATATGGCGAGTTGATCCATCATCATTATTTACAAGGTAGCAATCATCATCAAATTGTATTTTATACCTTGGTGTTCAGGATATACTTTTTGAAGACATGAGGCACAACATTAAGGTTGTGGCATGTGGCGCAACATTAAGCCTGTGGCATGAGAGCTGTGGCATGTAACGCAACATGAAGCCTGTGTCATGTGGCACAGCATAAGCCCATGGCATGTGGCGCAAGATTGCTTTTCCTAATATTAATCATGTGTAGTCACAGATGTGGCGCCAGAAAATTTGCCTACAAGGGGTCCGACAGAGGGGACGACGAAGCCTCGGTCGACGGCCCGGAATAAAACAATCCCTGTTAGGTTCATGGGTAGAGTTTTTATGGCTTAATTTGGTTCTAAAATGTGCTTTTAGACCACAATATTAGGGATTGGAAATAAAATAGCTTTATTTGGATATGAAATTATGTTTTTTATTTTTGGACGACAAGGGGGTCCAGGCTTGTCCGACGGGTGGGCAAATGCCCACCCTGCCCCCCGCTGGCACCACCACTGGTAGTCACTGATGACCCAGTGCTATTGTTTTGAAATTAGAAGTAAATTACATATTAAACTAGATTTAATTTTATTAATTAATAGAGCTGAATTTACACCAGCATTACTAATTATCATTCCATAAAAATATTTTATTCAATTATATTTTTTATAATTTTAGGCCAGCAGCCAGTGCAGCACATGTGTTGTCCTACCAAGGTCATGGTCCAGTGACTTCATTAGCATGGGATCCTAGAGGGGAGCTATTGGCTTCAGCCTCACCCAGTGACACAGCCATGCTGGTAAGAATTCTAGCGACACTTTCAAGTTATTATTATTTTGTCATGCTAATTTTATTGTTATATGGGGTTAAAGTGTAGCTTGGTGGTTAAGATCTTACTTTCCAATCCCAAGGGTCGTTCTTCAACCAGAACTCCTCCACTTCTTAAACCTCATATTGAGACTTAATTTATGTTGAGCATCTTGTGTGTTTGTTATGTTTATAAGCATCTTTCCATCCTGTAAATGGCAATTTTAATTGCGTTTAAAATACTACTGTAGTTGGGTTATGAGGCTGCATGTTGATGCTTAGATTATAATATAAATTATTCAAAGTATTGTTTGTGCATCACAGATTAATTTGCATCCTATTTTTATCTGCAGATTTGGGATGTAGCAAAAGGTAGTTGCACAGTTCTGCGGCGGTTTGGTGGTGGGGGAGTTTCGCATTTGAGATGGGCACCTGATGGTCAAAGGCTTTTTGCAGCCACGCCATCACAGATGTTCAGGTAAATTGACTTACCTATGTTTTTATCTTTTGTAGTTTTCTTACTTGGTTGGATCTTGAGAATATTTGTCTTTGTGAATGCATATTGCAAATATCTGAATACGTCAGAGACATGTATCCAATTGAATAGCGGTGGTAAGACACGCTCTGTTAATTCATAAGTTTCTAAAATATACTTTTTGATTTTTTAACATTATTTTTAAATGTTATAAATATGCTTGGGCTTTTATACAGTTTATTTTATAAAGTATTTTCATTGACAGTATAAACGGGTAGCCATTGTATGGCCCCTGGTTCAATTCAAAGCCCTGCTTTCCTTGTGTTTCTGCTGGAGGGTTTAAAATAGCATACCGTCTTTCCGAAAGGTCCACTGATTAAGCTCAGATAAGAAAGTATAATACATACTCCAAGTATAGAAATGCACGCCATCGTGTTGGGTATTGAATCCCAACACGATGGCGTGCATTTCAATACTTGGAGTATGTATTATACTTTCATACCGTCTTTCAGTAGAGATGTTTAAGTCATTGGTTCCACGTGCATTATGGCCCATTTGCACATTAAAACACACTCTTTAGAACAGAGCAGTGAATATTCTACTGGTGTACTGCCGAATTCACCACCAAAAGGCCCTCACTGGAAATAAGTCTTTTAGAACTTTTAGGTATTCTATTGTGCATTGGACACACAAACCAAGACAATATCCATCTATTTACATGGTTTATTTGTATTTATTTTTTATTATTTTTACAATTCTGATATGAATACTTTGAACCTGAAATTCAGAGTGTGGGAAACAAAAACCTGGCAGTGTGAGCGCTGGACACACTTAAATGGACGTTGCCAAGCAGCTTGTTGGAGTCCAGATGGTAGAATACTATTGTTCGCAACAGAGAATGAACCAATCATATACTCGCTTACATTCAACAAGGAAAGTACAACAGATGCCATTGGTGGATCCAAAGCAGCCGTCGTATGTGCTGACCTATCCGAAAGCACTTATGAGATAGATGGTGATGAAGTCATCAGGTGAATTTCATAGTTTTTTTTCTTTTAATTCCTTTCTGTAATTCAAAAGGCATTAAAATATTAAAAAGATCATAAGTGAAGATGTGCAGAGACAAAAGCTTTTCAAGCTGCTATCACCAAAGAGTATGCCTCTCCATTCCCAACATTCAGAATATAAAAATTAAAAATACATAGGCCTTATATTATTCTCAAGCTCAAAACATTCATTTTACCAAACTCTATATTCCACCCCACATCCCAGTGGCTCAGGCTATGTTCCAGCCACAAATTCCACCCTCATTCTAATAAGACCCCAGTCATTAAACTTCACCCCTCATTACAGAAAATGAGGGGTTTAAAATTTTCAACATATAAAAAAAAGAATAATTGTAGGTTAATCCATATTAATATTTATATGATTATGTAATCATTATTTTTTTCCTATAAATTTTAAAAATGCACATGTTTTTAAAGGGTTGGTGGTCTTGTGCAAGATATGACTTGGAGTGCAACTGGAGAGAGACTAGCTGTATCATTTAAGCCTAATGAAAATGATGATAATCAAACCAACTTGGTGGCACTGTTTAATGTCAGGCAAAAACAACTTCTTGAGCTCATCCCAATGTAAGTCAAATGGTTACTCTATGTTGCAGACATTTAACTACAGTATTAGGCAAAAGGTTGTTGCCCACACTGAATTAAATCATGAAAATCTAAAGCCAAAATAAATGCATTATGTTTCAAATTTTAATATTGGATACCTTTAACAGGATTTTAACCATTTCAACAAAAATGCATGTGGAGAGTGGTGGTTGGTACTGAACCCTAGAATTCCAATAATAATAAAAAACCTATGCCAAAAGACCAATTTCCATGTAACTGTGCATGCATTATTCTTTTCTAATAGAGAAGGCAGGGATGGTGGTTTGGCTCAGCGGTTTCCATCCTGGTTTATTGAACTTGTGGTCAGGACTTCAAACCACACGCTGTCCAATCTCAGCCGGCCATGCTTAGATACCCCAACTGTGAAGTGGCTCGGGCTATGTTTCAGCCCTAGTTGCAAGCATTTCATGGCATATAAATTTAGTAACAATTAAGTAACCCCTTACGTAGAAGTGGCTTTCAGGCCTTGTTTGGGATAATTTCAATAATTTAAAAAAATATGTTTGTTTTTAGTGGTTTTGTTCAAGGTGAAGGAAATCAAGTGTTGCAGCTTATTAGTTTTGAGCCAACTTTCAATCAAGGTGCATTGCTTACACTGGTGAGTAGTGGTTTCTTGCTATTTCTTTCTTATTTTGGGTGATGGAGAATTCATCTCCAGCTTCACATACCAGACATACTAGACCCTGGTATCCAAATGCTTGCTACATTGCTAAATAAACCATTGATCATTTACAGATTTTTTTTTTCAAGTATGGAGTGATTATTGGTGTTCAAAACAAGTCAATGTTTATTAGTTGACCAATGTTTTAAATCAGTCACAAAACACTGTGTGCAATGGGTTACTGATTCTTTGTAAAATACGATTGATTAATCATAATAGGCCTAAAGCACTTATTCTTTTTCATAAACTTGTTTTTTGAAATAAGTATAATTTCCTGAATGGATTTTCTAGGTGTGGCAAGATGGTCGTGTTACTTATGTTCCCTTGTTCTTCCTGTCATCACAAGATGTGGAGCATTACCAGACAAGCTATGTTCACTCAGTTGCAAATCAGTTACCACAACAACAGCAACATGACCTCTACACAAGTATTAATTCAGGAGTTAACAATACTACTGCAGTAAAATAATCATGAGTTGTGTATTATACTTATATGAATCACTCTGGCATGAAATCTACTTAAATGTAAAATATATTTATAAAGAATATTGCAAGGAGGATTGTGTCACATTAAAGATGTTCCTTTTAATCATACATGCTTTTTTCATTAAAAAAATATGTACAGTTAATCTTGCCTAAGTCATACTTTGCCTAACTTGAATAATTTCTAAGTCAATCTTGTTTTACATGCCAAATTAATGATCTGTAAGTCTCTACAATTTTTCAATGCCACTTTGAATTCCACTTAGGAAAAAGTTCAACTGATAATTCACTAGCAGTATAATGTGTATTCCATATTCTGATGCAGTACTTAACAATCCCAGCCTCACAAACATAACAGCATTATGTTTCAACTAATGCTAAATGGGTTTATATATAATAAATTGTGCTTTTAAGGTCACATTATTAGGAACTGAAAATTAAACAAGTAAAAACAATTAAATTTTGTTGGGTCCCTAAATAAGTTTTTTAGTCCAATGGCAGGCACATTTACATACACCATAAGCAATATTGAGTTATAATCATGTAGATTTGTGTAGCGTCGGTATCCATCAAACAAGATGCTCATGGCGCTTGATATGTGGACGAGTAACTCAATCAATGACTTTCTTCGCCCCCAAGTGTCCCTTGGTGTCTGTGCTATCCGGTGACTCGGTATCACCAACACCGGGGTATTTCCCTACTCGTCTCGAAATCCAAGTAGACTTGTTCTACCACCAGAACCATAGGTGAGCGTGTCGTTTGAACCAGTGCTGATATTATGGCTGTAGGTTGCAGTGCCCCTGCCTCAACATTTTTGAAAGAATAAACGACTAACTTTGAGGCACTACGTCAAGAAGCACAATAAAGACAAAATCAAGATGCATGTTGTAGTTTTTAATCTCCCCAACATATAGGCCTTTACAAACATAACATTTATATTCAACTTGTTCCAGGATCTTTCATTACAATACTTTCAAAATGATTTACAGATCCTCTTTGTGATCTTTACTATAACAACATGGAATTACCAATCATTTTTCATAAATTACTTGAACTTCTTGTCGTTAGCAAACATTTTTTATAAATTACTTGAGCATCCTATTGTTAGCAACCATTCTTAACAAATGCTTTGTTTCAAATCAAAACATTCTACTTAAGTAATAATATGAGTTTATATATAGCATTATAAAAAAACAACACCAGAGGCTATAGCAAGTTACTGCTTCAGTTTCAAGTTGATTGCAACCTGAAGCAATGATATTACTCATCTTGATTCTTGTACCCATACATCACAATTGGAATAAACTAACTCTGTAGTCAATGGCAATGTCTATTGGGTGTAAACACAGACCAGAAACTAGCATAATAAGCATTGTTGTTCTTGTAAATCTTATCAAAACGTAGTCATTTAAATTAATCATATTCCTTTATTCTCCTCAAAGTCTACCCTACATTAGATTTTGGGTCCAAATTAAGTTAAAATTGAAAAATAACTACTGGAAATATGATGATGTAATAAAAAATATCATGCTTAACAATGTATCTTGATTTTTTTCAATTACACAATTTAATTTGATAACAATGACAAAAAATGTTTTTGGTGAAATTGTAAATATCACATGACCAGCTTTCATAAATACTGGCACCTTCTTTCTTGAATGTAGAATAAAATGGAGATAACATGTGGAAACTACAGTAAAGTATGGTGAATCTAGTAATTTTATGATTGTAACTATGTACCTTGAATACTGTATAACCACACAAATTAATGATTGGTTATCATAAAAATATCTCTTGCTTAAAATACATTCACCACTTTGTCGTAAGGGGCACCAACAATCTCTTAAAACTACGTACTACATCAATCATTATGTATCATGATTACATTAATCATTATACCACATCAATCATAGTCAACAAACCTGTAATTAAATTGCATATCAATCATTCTAGCATACACAAACTTCAGGTGTCAGAGTGTATTATTTGCCATTAGTACAGCTGGTATGTTTTATTTACAGTAGTGATTTTTATGATTATAACTTTCTTTTTTGCTGAAGTATGTATATAGTATGAAAATATGCCTTTTAATTACAAGCAGATATTAAGACTGTATCACTGTGCATTTAATAGAGCAGTAAATTTTGAATTAAATCTCACATTTCTGTCAAAATTAAAGATTTTTATGAGAGGATGCTACAGGATGTGTACCAGTGGGCAAAGGTATATGAACAGTGCTTTTTAATCAAGGCAGGGAAGCCTAGACTAATTTGACATGCGCGTGTATCCGGCCTAAGTATGAATGAAGATTGATTTTTATCAGCTTCTATAAATTGAAATCCAGCTCAACTCCTTGCAGTATGTTCTTATACTGTATATTTGAAAACTAACATTCCATTTTAGGAGAAACTTTTTATACCTCGTTTGCGAACCTGCCACCTGCCAATAACAGTGATTTCAAATAAAAATAAAATTTTATTTTTGACCAATTAGCGCACCCGCTGCCATGAAAAAATGAAAATTTTTCTTTATTTTTATTACGCCCGCTGCTGCATTGAAATCTTCCCAAATAAATTATGTAAATTTAAAGCATTTAACCATCCCATTACTACACTGTTTACATTCACATGAAAAGTAAAAGCTATCCTTCCTTTTATTCAAACGTAGAGTTCATAACATAGGTATCAAATTTTACAGTGGTAGATCCAGGAATTTGAAATAGAGGGGGCCCAGAGAAGGACTTTCACAAATGGACGATCTATCTACCTCAGCCCCACCATGGGTTAGGCTGAGGTAAGAAAATTTATAATTATAGCACCTCTGGACGCTGGAAATGGTATTCTTAGACATAAATTTTGAGTAGAATTTACTTTTTTTTCTAAACTTTGGGTAAATTTTGAAAAATTTAATCCGCCACTGGTTTAATATTTGATTTGACAATCGAATCTCTACCAGGTCTATTCGTATTTTCTAACTTGTAGGCCCTATGTATAATGACGATGTCCAGGATCCAAGCCTTTGATAATTATTAATTAATAATGTAAAGAATTTACTATTTGATACATTGTAAATGTAAACTCTAGAGTAGTAGAAGTCATAAAAATATTAAAGAAAAAGAATTAGAAGCGATTAATTTCGAGCTTTCATCGATAAACAGTAAAAGCTTTATTTATAATTCTGGAAAAAAAACATATGAATGAGACTGGATGTATGTATACATTAATCATTTTTATTTATTTATTTTATTATTTTTTACCTAGTTATTTCCGGCAGGGGCCCGGGCCCTTGGCCTCTTGACCCGGTTTCGACGGCCTCTCTGCGCCACTGAGTGTTGGGGGCTCATCAAAGAAAGTATTTGAGTGAAATCCATTCCTAAAAAATTTTGAATTTTAAGGCTGAAAATACTGCATTATTACCAATGTAAATACTGTTCAAAATTTGTGGGAATTTAATTGTTTTATTGTTAAGTTTTGGGTGTCGTTTTACTGGTTTTACTGGTGTCCATTTGAACTGGGAGCCTGGGAGCCCGGGACCTCGCTCCGCGAGAGCCGATAGGCATTACACCACTCATGGGCTGATTCTTATTAGAGTGTAGGATGTCAGGATAGGTAGCTACATTTTCGGTCTAGAGGGGGCATGGAATCATGTTTCCCCATTTGCGTCTGAATTGTGCCAAATGACTACTACAATAGTTACCCCATTGGTGGCAACTATTTGGACGGGTGGAATAAGATTATCATGACAGGAGGAAAGGTTTCTAATATTGCACATGACTGAAATATTGTTTGACTGTGTAATACAGTACTTGGTATTGCATAACAAAATGTGATTAAAACACTGGTTTCTTACATTATATTTTAGCTTATACTACATACTGATATATATTATGGATAAATGGACTTTCACATTATAAAGCAAATTTCTAAAATCTGTCGTAGTATTTAGAAAACTAAGTATTTTTAATAATAAAAATATGAAATAAATTTTATCCAAAATACTAATAAAAAAATTACATCTAGAAAAATTTCAAACAACAAAGACATGACGGAATTTTTAATAATAAAAATATGTAATAAAATAAATTTTACATCAGTAAATTTCAAACAACAAAACATGATGTTAAAAGATACTAGCTGAACAAAATATGGCTATAAAATTATTGTTTCAATTAAAAGTTATTGTGGGCAGATGGACTTGCATTATTAACATGCTACTAATTATACTAAATATTCTATTAACTATATTACTGTATATTAAAAAATAAATATTATTGAATATAATGCTTGTTAAAGGTATTGCTAAATTATTAAGAAAAATCATAAAACAAACACCTGGTTAGAGACATTAAGTAGAAAAAGTTATAAAAATCATTATAATAATGAAAATTCCTTAATAATAATTCTTGATTTTATATAGCACCTTGCATTGAAAAAACATGAAGCACATAGCAACAACGCAAGACCAGCAAAGTAAAATAAATCAAGTATGTTCCTACTACACAATTTTGGAGAAAATTAAAAATTAAGCATTGAATGGAATAGGATGGAATAATAATAAACCCATACACCTTAAATTCATTCATTCATTCATAAAACAATCTTTGGAAGCAGTATTACAGTATTATTACCAAAACAACTAAAAAATTAGACTAAAGTAATGTATGAAAAACACACACTGAACAAGCAACAACTCCATAAAAAAATCATCCACTACTAAATCTTTTCATGGATCGTTTTCCATTCCGAACTTTAAAATTTGTTTCTACCACGTCTACTTGTTTGATATTTTCATCTTCATCTACAATAATTTCATCCAGAATGAAATGAAAAATAAACATGCTCATTAATACGCCAAGGAAAGGGCCACACCAGTAAACCAGGATATGCTCGTGGATGGGATGGTTTTTGCAGTTGTAGGCCAGAGAGGTTGCTAGAGCTGGGTTGAACATCATACCTGTCCATTCCATTCCTAAAAGATAAAAATATTGAAAATAGCGTTGAAAACAAAATCTTGAATGGAGCATTTCGAGGTATTAGTCCCCACTGTACATGCAAAGGCATATCTAGAGCCTTGAAATTGAGGGGGCTAGCGATTTGGGGGGGGGGGGCGTTAGTGCTAGCTCACAAAACAAGGTAATTATAGGTGATTTTTAACTATATTAGAGATTATTTGAGGAAAAGTGACTGCGGACTGAGTATTTTTGGGGGAACGTACCCCCTGTGCACCCCTAGATACGCCACTGCGTACATGCCAAGCCCCTTCCCACTCATTGGCCAAGACTTTTTGGACCAAAAAAGAAATTAAAAAAAATGATGGGCATAATATGTGCTAAAATGTCTTAAAACTCAGTTTCAACTCATATGTGATGTAGCCAAATACAACGTGATGCATGTACATTTTTCCAGTCCAGATTCAGTTTTTCTGGACGCCAGTCAGGGCTATTACTAATAATGACATTAGTGATTACAAACTGTATATTGATCAGTCTAAAACAATCACTACCTAATGAGAGTATGGTAAGACAACAATTTTCTTTTTCCCACGGCTATGGAGATGGCACGCTATAATGTCACTTTCATATTTGGTAACATTTTTGAAGATTAAACTTCAGTGCAATAACCCTCGAATGTACTTTACCATATGTATGCTTTGTATAAAAACAGTAAATGATTCAGAATGATTGTAGCTCTCTGCTTAGTAACACTTTAATAGGTTCTACCTCTTCTGCAATTTGATGATAATGACTTACCCATTCTTAAATCAACATGACAACATTAAAAACATTGCTTTCAAGAGGAAAACATGAACAAATTGCTAGTCTGGATGTTGGGTTGAGAATGTAGTTAAATGCCCTGGCTTTTATTACATTTCAATCAAGAATTTTAATAAAATTGACTTGACAGTACAACCTGACATCCATCCTTATCCCCTTTTTTTCTGTTTCTGGATATAACTTCCCCATGTTCATTGGTCTTTCGTCTTTCAATCTCCTAGTCATTTAATCCTGGCTTTACACAGGTTCCCACTTTTAAATCTTATTAAACTTGCACACAGAAATCTAGGTCTGTTTTTCACAACTTATCCAGATCAAGAAATATAGAAACTGGGAAATTCAGTCAACAAATCCTTGACGAAATACGTGGATTGACGAAATACGTGGAAAAGTTAGATAAGATTGTGAATTTAGAAACTCTGGAATTCTTTGTTTTACTGAAACTTGGCTGAAACAAGCAACGCCCAGTCAAGCGCTAGACATTCATGGTTTTGAGTTGATATGGAGCGATAGAGTGTTTACTGAAACTAATAAAACTAAAGGAGGTGGTTTGGCCATATATTTAAATGAAAAATTGTGTCGCATACGCCTTGAAATCTGTAACCAAAACATGGGGCTTCTTTGTGTCTCGTTTAGACCATTCTATTTACCACAAGAATTCAATAGGGTCAACGTTTTCCTTGTTTACATACTGCCAGATGCGAATGCGGCTGTAGCTGTTCGCGTCGTTGATACAGCGAATGCCATGGAAATGGCGTTACCTGATTTGCCTAAAATAATACTCGGTGATTTCAATCATTGTCTGCTAGAGGACGTGCTCCCGAACTAAATGCGGTGTATGCAGACTCCAACACGCGGCGATCGGATACTCGATCGGTGCTATTGCTCGGTTAAAAATTCATATAAAGCACTTGTCCATTCCCCAATTGGAAACTCAGATCATTCAACATCATTCAACAATACATCTGTTGACTAAATATAAAACCAAATTGAAATCGGACAGAGTGTCAACAAAAAGAGTCAAAGTATGGGATATAAGAGCTAATTGAAATGTTACAAACCTGTATTGACTTTGAAACTGGGACATCATCATTAGAAGTTCAATGGATCTTTCAATCCAGGCTCCTTTCTCCCATGTCCCTAAGTTTTCCAATACTGGCAGAGCCAACCCCTGTGCACATTAGTATTTCACCCCTGGCCCTACCCTCAGTACTTCCTACCCTATAATATGAACAATCCTGTGACATGCAAAGGATTGTCAGATGATAAATATTGAATTATTGGTGTCGTTTCCTGAGCTGCAATTTTCTATGGATCATAAGTTACATTTTAATATTTAATTGTATTTCTCTATTGTTTATATACAAAATAACTTTGAGGCAGAGCAATTTGGAACACAGACTTCAACTTGAATAAATTATGTTTGATGATTTGAATTATACAGTGAATCATAATGAAGATAATAGAGTATTGCTGTACTCTGCAGGTAGTAGTGCATCAGATACTACACTTGTCGCTAGACTCTTCATTAATATTACACTGTTATACTATTATATTGTTTGTTATTATCTTTGCTGGGATCTGCAGAGGACCAGGGATTTTATCCCTGAGCAGTCCTCCAAGATAAACAATAAAGTAAATAAATAATAAATAAATAAATAATAATTATGTTGAGCCTACATCCAAGAGCAAACATATGGTATCAGTATTGATATCAATATACAACATTTTTATCAAAAAGAAAGACAAATCTACTTATTATAAATGTTCAGAAATCATTGAGACCTACATTTAACTATGATTTATGGAAACACAGGTTTCATATAAACTTCCACCTATGACAAAATATAATTTATGTTCATACTGTATCACATTAACTGAGTCAACCAATCAATTATAATAAATCAATCAATCAATCAATTAATTGTAATATGATGGTATATGTGAATGTATGAACAAGATGTGAAAATATGACAAGCAAACCTATTGAAAGGGAACCACGATGACAAAAAACAGGTACTTGACAAGATAACATTATTAAAATACAGACCAGAGAACAAATGTTACTCATTGTTGTTGCTGTTATTATTATTATTATAATTATTATTATTATTATTATTGTTTTTATTGTTATTCATTGTTGAATGTTGTAAGAGGGAGGCAAGAAGTATGTGAAACGTATTTCTTGAAATTCATTCAATGTTTCTCTACTCAAAATAAGGATAATAACATACACACTGATATTACACAATTATTATTTAGACTATCCAGACAACAAATGTGCCAATGACTGCATGAGCTCAACCCCATCTGTGGCGATTATGCATACAGCAATAATGAAGATCTAATCCATTGCCAACACATAAAGTCTGAGAACAAGGTTTTCTGAAACTAACAACACAGGTATTGGAATAACCTCTCAAATGAAGTTGTTCAATTTTGACCTCTTCACATTCAAAATAAATATCTAAATTCACAAATAAGCAATAAGTATAGTTGTGTATCATACCCTTAGTGGAAATTAATATACAAAAGTAGTAGAGAGCAGCTTAACTCAATCGGCTAATCTGGTGGTAGCCACTG